ATACAAAAGAACATAAAACTGTGATGCTACGAAAGTTGGGTGGTGGGGGGGGGGGGGGGGGGGGGAGTTTTTTTGATAAAAAAAAAAGTTTTGGTGCTAGAATGAGGTGGGGGGGGAGGGTTTTGTGTTGTTTTTCTCTCTTTTTTGATGTTTTGAAATTGCTTTATTTTGCAAAACTTCGATGGAAACGCTTTTTTCATCACATCACATGAGTCACATGATCAATAGCCAGATGTTGCCACTGGCGCAAACCACAAAGAAGAAGACTACAGGAAGTAGTTGGAGGATCATGGATCATGTTTTATAAACTTATTCACATGTGATTTCGACCATGCTTCATATTTAATGGAGACACCACAATTGCGACATTGTGCTTTTTTGACATCAGCGGAATATTTTGCACACATTTGCAATGGAAACGCAGCTACTCACATACACCATGTGGGATGCAGTAATTGCATCTGCAGAGCTTATTAATGAACTATTTTTCAGTCTAATGCTCCAAAGAATGTTTGCAAACGGCTTTATGGAGAAGTGTTGTGATACTGAAGCCAGAGCAGGAGCTTCTTAAAGAGACAGAGGCCCAAAGACTTTGTTATATTCATGACATGTGTTATGTCATGTTTATGACAATGTCATGCCAGTCTTATGCACACCCCTTCAAATAAAGTGTTACCAATTTCTCTTAAGACATATTTGATATATACACGATTTTCATGACAACTGAAGGCAACATTGTACATATAATACATATGTATAAGGCTCCTTTAAATCACATAGGTACGCTCCAATAAGGCGAATGCTTGTGCTGGATTTTACTTTGGAATGTAAGAGAAAAGCAGAAAAATTATCAAAAAAGTTGCATCATTTTCCTCCCAACCATGCACTACTTTGGTCTGTTGCTCTGTTACATAAAATCTTAGCGAAATATATATTTGTGTAGGTATATACAGTAAGAAGTGACAAAATATAAAAACACTCAAAACAAATTAATTTAGCAAGAAACGGTGAAACGCAATTGCTTTTACAGTTTGCGCTGAAACGATTGGCTTTAAGCTGTTTCTTCCACCTCCACAGCCTTTCTGCCTGGAGCGTTATTCATCAGACGGCGCTTCTCATTTGCTACTGCATTGCTAATATTAGACTGCTGCGCTTAATGACATCTGTGCATGCAGTTCGCCGTTAATGGCCGATCAGTTTACCAAATGAACGACCCGGCTCTGCTCCCTGCTCTTGATGATGCGCAGATGTTATCACCATTTGATACAGTCATTGATTGGTTCCATTACGTTACAATCATTTGCAACGTTGCCATTTTTAGTTCCAAAGCCTCCTCC